GTTTATGGATATTGCCATGTAATCCAAATGCCATTTAAAAAGAGTAACTGAGAAATTACCATTAGAAACTTTTACTGGCTTAAAATCATGAATTGTAATTTATTTTGATTAAAATAATTTAAATATTCATAATCTGTTGAAGAGAAAGTAGACGTTTGAAATAAACAGGAGTCGTTAATATTCATAATCATAATCTGTTATGATTTAGAGATGGTAGACCACATTGCATGGAAAGCTCAAGAATCGAACATTTTTCTTAGAAATATACAATTAAGTCTTTTTTCTAAAAAAACATGTTTTTATCATCACCCTAAAGTTCGTTTAAGTAAATAATACATTACAAATATTCATTCCAACACCTATCTTATAATACATTACAAATATTCATTCCAACATCTTAATTTCAACCTTTATATTTGTATAGTTCTAATGTGTTAGTGTGAAACTATGCAATTATGGAAAATAGATCACACACCAACCTTTATTAAATATTCAACAACTATAGCGGTATATCCATTTTTATAAGTTTATTGGTAAATTCCTAAATCTGGACCCTTGAACCCCCCACCACCCATCGACCTCCCTACGACTCAACAAGTCAGAAGGAGATGGTTCTAGGTTTAAGCGACTATAATAAGTATGATTTTGTAAACGTTGTAAAAGTAAACATAAACATTTCAGCTAAAATCATGATTTAATACTAAGCACATGTAGGCGGATGGAGTAACTACACCACTATGAAAAATTATATAAACCGGGGCAACTCGGGACATTTTCTCTTTCTTTTTTCTTTCAAAGTGTTTTTAAAAACCTTAGCAATGCTGGGTACTCCAGTTTCCTTTCGAAAAATACAAAATTATAGTTGGCTAACTTGTAAGTGGAACCAGCCTTTTTATCTCGTTTTGTAGTTTTTTGCATGCAATGTGCAATTTACAAATTGCGCACTTTACACTATGTGGGGTAAACGGGTAAGGTTAGGTAAAAATAAGTATTTTTTTAAAACTGTTATTTTGCTTACAATACGTGACAGAATGAAAATGAATAAAAACATGTTTTTTATATCTTACCCTTTCTTGGTTCTGTTATGTTGCTACATCTGTACCATTTACACAACATGAAATTAGGTACATGTAAATTTTACACTGTACAATGTGTGCGATACGTACTAAAAAAAATATTCCAAGAATTGACACTTTTGTTTTGGCTATTGGGGCCAAAAAAAATATTTGGCGGTTTGCCTTACATAAAGACTGTCGTTTCATATTGTACAGATTACTCTAGCTGGTTAAAAGTCGGCCTGGTACATACTTACAATGAGCCGGAGTTTACAATGGCATGAATAATTATCTTCACTACATAGTAAGAATTGATTTATCTCTAATTCAATCGTGTTCCCGTTTTGTACAAGGAATACAATACAATAAAGACGACTTTTCTATTTATGTTTTGATTCCTAAAAAGCTTTTTTAAAATTACAAGTTTACAAGTTTTGTTTCCATGTTTATGTGTATCTGCTGTTTGAAAGCTTTGTATAGATAGAAGCCAAAATAAAAATCATAAATATATACGCAGACGACTGTAGTTGAACTTCTTTTTAATTCTAAAGATCAAAGAAGTATTTAATATCGAAAATTATATCCACGCCCCTGCACTCGCCTCGCACAACCATGGGCATTTAACAATATTACTTGCACTGGGCTGGCATGTTACAATAAAAACTTTATCCCTTGTGGATCTACTGAGTCTAGAGGTCTGTAATAGTACAAAAATATACCATATTACAAACAGCCAACATACAGGGTATCCATTTTCCTATAGCGTAGTCCAAAAGTTTTTAAGTTCTAACGCACAAAAGAGAATTTGGCCATGATTATATCTTGGTAAACAATTACATAATTTTATTATTCTGTCTATTTAATCTTAATGCCTGGGACTACAAGAAAAAGTCTCAGTGAGCTAGTGATGTAAATCAAAGGAGTTAGGACACTTTAAAGGCGACCCAGTCTTGAAAATTTAACTTTGCAGCATGCATTGCATTAAACGCATGATTGAAGTATAGTATATTCAATTACCATAAAAACCCGTGTTTTGGGGCTCTGGAGGCAGCTGCCGAAAGTTGCAAGGAATTCATTGACGACCCAAAACTTTTTAGTCAATCTGTAGGTTAAAATGCGCAGTCTTCTCCTTTAAATCATGCCTTTAAAATTTTATGCTCCAATATCATTAATCATCATTTTTCAAAGAAAGGATAAAATTGATTAAATCTTTATGAATGTGGAATTGATTAAAACTTTATGAATGTGGAATTGATTTAAACTTTATGAATGTGGAATTGATTAAAACTTTATGAATGTGGAATTGATTAACTGTATGAACGTGGAATTAATTAAAACTGTATGAATGTGGAATTGATTAAAACTATATGAATGTGGAATTGATTAACTGTATGAATGTGGAATTAATTAAAACTGTATGAATGTGGAATAGATTAAAACTTATGAATGTGGAATTGATTTTAACTGTATGAATGTGGAATTGATTAAAACTTTATAAATGTGGAATTGATTAAAACTGTATAAATGTGGAATTGATTAAAACTTTATGAATGTGGAATTGATTAAAACTTTATGAATCTGGAATTGATTAAAACTTTATTAATGTGGAATTGATTAAAGCTGTATGAATGTGGAATTGATTAAAACTTTAGAACGTGGAATTGATTAAAACTGTATGAATGTGGAATTAATAAAAACTGTATGAATGTGGAATAGATTAAAACTGTATGAATGTGGAATTGATTAAAACTTTATGAATGTGAAATCGATTAAAACTTTATGAATGTGAAATCGATTAAAACTTTATGATTGCAGAATTGATTAAAACTGTATGAATGTTGAATTGATTAAAACTTATGAATGTGGAATTGATTAATTAACTGTATGGATGTGGAATTGATTAAAACTTTATAAATGTGAAATTAATTAAAACAGTATGAATGTGGAATTGATTAAAACTTTTTGAATGTGCAAATTGATTAAAACATTATGATGTGGAATTGATTAAAACTGTATGAATGTGGAATTGATTAAAACTGTATGAATTTGGAATTGATTAAAACTTTATGAAGGTGGAATTGATTAAAACTGTATGAATATGGAATTGATTAAAACTTTATGAATGTGGAATTGATTAAAACTGTATGAATTTGGAATTGATTAAAACTTTATGAGCGCGTGGAATTGATTAAAACTGTATTAATGTGGAATTGATTAAAACTTTATGAATGTGGAATTGATTAAAACTGTATTAATGTGGAATTGATTAATACTTTATGAATGTGAAATGGAAGAAAAACAATAAATTTTTTTTTAAGTCGTCTTGGTAATGTATATACATCGTCTATAATACGCAACATCCCCTAGCTACTGAACGTCTGACCTACTAACTTTCCGACCAATACTGAAATATCGGACCTACGCCATTGAGGGTTAACCCTACTAATTAGTACTGTTAGGTTAAGACAATTTCTGTGCCGATCGAGCGCTGCGGTTAGGACAGGCATGGGCCGAGCGCCGCAGCTAGGACAGACAAGGGGGCCGGGCGCTGGGGCCACAAATCCATATATATAGCAGCTGTAAAACCACGTGCTAGTAGGTCGGATGTGTAGTGTAGCGGATTTGGCGTAGGTCATAAGTTGAGTGTAGCGGATTTGCGTAGGTCGAAATATCCACCTTACTGCAATCGAACCTACGCCAGCTGTTTACTTTTGTATTATTTGAGGGTTAGGTTAGGTTAAGAGACAATTGCTGGGCCGATCACTGCAGCTAGGACAGCCGAGGGGTCCGATCGCGCTGCGACTAGGCATACTAGGGGGCCGGGCGCTGCGGCCACGAGTCCATATAGCAGCTGTTAAACCATGTGCTAGTAGGTCGGATGTGTAGTATAGTGGATTTGGCGTAGGTCGGAAGTGGCGTATAGGGGATTTGCGTATAATTCGAAAAATACACCAACCAATTTTTAAATAATTCCTGAAGTCGTCTCATGAAAAAAAAATTCAAGACGACATTTCAGAGAATCTCATTGTTTTGAGAAAGCATTAACACGCATGACGCAGTTTTTCAATTTAGCAGACAAACACCGACAACTTCATTGGCCTAATGACTCAGAGTATATAAGGCCACGGCGCACACCGTTCCGGCAAATTATGCGTCTTTAAACTTTAGTGACTCTCTTTCCAACAGCCCGAATCAAATCACTGTGGACCTATAAACTCCGTGCTGAATGAAAATTATTGTGTTTAAACTAAAAATAACATTTAGAATTAGGTGATCTAATCTTCAGAGATGGAACACTTTGTGCCTCTGCCCCCCCCCCCTTATAAGAAAATGTACATGATATTATTTTTAAAGTATTATTTCAGGGTTAGGAATTAGGTTTACATAAAAATTTCTGGGGCAAAGGGGCCGGGAGCTGCTACCGCCACATGACCAACTTTACATCTGCGTGTTACATAATAGCTCCATGATAAAAAATTTACAGGAGGGTTTGGGGGGGGGGGGGTTCGTTTAGAGGAAATTACCGGATCTGTCCTAGTATACGATTGTTGGACCCCCCCCCCTCCAATCAATTTTGTACATGACCAATTGACCATTGAATTAAAGTTATTGTATTATTTTAGGGTTAGGTTAAGACAATTTCTGGGCCGAGCGCTGTGGCTTGGCATGGATATAACTGGTCATGTGGCCGCTGCGCCCGAGCCTGTGTCCTAACCACGGCGCTCGGCCCCCTAGCCTGTCCTAGTCGCAGCGCTAGGCCCCTCTAGTCCGTCTCAGCCGCAGCGCTCGTTCTTGTAATTGTCTTAACCTGACCTAACCCTAAAATAATACAAAATAACTTATGATTAATGTTTATGTACAAAATTGAAAGGAGGGGTGCGGGTTGGGGGTAATAATATCGTATATACTCTTACGGACCCTATTTTTACTTTTAGCATTCATATTTATATTTATATACATTTTGTTTCAGAGAAGAATGACCGAAGATTATCGAACAAGGAAGGAGTTTAATCCCGTGGAGGAAGGACTACGTGCCGAATTCAGGTATTATAGTTCTTAATATAGTTAGGTCAAGATCTATTGGGGAAATTATTCATGAGAATAAACTCTTAAAAGCATGAAGTGTTCATTAATGCAGCTTTCGGTAATTAATTAGAAAAGGATTTTTGGAACCCTCTCCCCCCATTGAAAATATGAAGGGGGGGGGGGGAGGAATTGTTATTTAGGACTGAGTCCATAAAAATGAAGAAAAAAAAACGAAAATCCCTTATTTGAAAACTCCCCGATTTTTCCCAAGAATACACTTTTGAGTTATTTGTTTTCTGTTGATTTATACATGAACCTAATACTCTCCTAATACTAAAATTTTTTCATCCTTGCAGTTAATCCTGTTACATCCTTGTGTCGTAAACTATAAATTCTGCTACGGTAAATATTATAAATTATCAAAAGCATCAGGTTTTAAAGATAAAGGGATGATAAAATTAAGAGTTTGTAGCGAGTGTTCAGTTCCTTTAATCATGCCAATTTGCAATTAAAGTTTTTTTTATAAAGGTTGACTAACTACACCCAACTGAAAGGATGAGGATGTAAAGTCCCTCAGGAAGTTTTAAAAAAACTTCTTGTGGGATTACAGGTACACAAAATTAATATGTGAATTGCGAATACTATTTTTATGGGATAAATGAACGAAAATATTTGGAGTTTTATTTGCTGAATTAAGGATAATAAATGAAGTTTTGGGTATAAAGTTTTAAAAAGAATGAACAAATTTGCTTTTGATGTGCAATTTCAATTTTCCCCCTCGAGTCATCTAAAAACACCCCCCCCCCCCCGGGGGAAGGGGTGATTTTGAAAATATACACCCCTGTTTTAATAAACTAAAAAATCTAGATTTTCTCGTATTCAATTATTAGCGTTATTACGTAAGAACTGTTAAGATCAATACTAGTTTATATTCTAGGTCCCTGCTGTACAACTACAGGATGGACAGGCTAGAGTCGGGATTGGTGAGAAACTTAATCTTTTCTGGACTTTGAACATTTTAAATGCGACTGTAGACGTAATTTCTAGTGACATTGTCATGTCCGATTCAAAATTATATCTGGTCAACAATGTAAAAGATATCGTCGGTTTTCTTGACTCGGAAGGAAATTGTCGAAACTAGTTTTACTCAGGTTATCGTTGTAAATCTGAATTTCCATCTGTATGCCAGGTCACATGGAACTTCGTCCCCATTCCCTTTAAGAAACATTAAAATGATAAATACAGAACTGAAATCAGATATCCAAGTTTTTATCCTCAACAAACTAGAGCTTAAAATAGAGAATGAAATCTGATATTGCAATGTATGCATTGCAAACCCCTAGAAATTACCAATAAACTTTTTTCCCTATAACCAGTGAATAGGATCCATTGGATCCGCAACATTTTGGCTTCCTGGATCCGGATCTGCAAAAATATGCGGATCCACGGATCCAAGTGCAAAATATCAACCAAAAACTTCTAAATAAATTCCTTTGCTCTCAAATCTGAATTGTTGAAAAAAGAGAGATTTTCAAAAGTATGCAATTGTCCAAAAATTTTCTGTTGAAGAAATCAGTAAATCTTATATAACTCCTAATCACCCGGATCCGTTGGATCCGCAACATTTTTGGCTTTCTGAATCCGGATCCATTTTTCCAGTGCGGATCCCGGCTCCGGTTCTGCATCAAAATTAAATGGATCCTAGGCACTGCTTCTATATAAATAAAGTCTAAATCTCTGTTTGTCTGTTTGTTTGTCCTATCATAATTCAGGAACCCCTGGACCGATTTGCCTCAAATTTTGATTGGGGAACTCGGGAGACTCATGGGAATATTCTTAGCTTGGTTTGAGATTCTTAGTTGAGCGGGTCGACTTAAAAAGTGAAAATTTATTTTCTGGTAAAACCAAGAACATTTCCGTGGGTCTCCCGAGTTTTCAAATCAAAATTTGAGGCAAATCGGTCCATGGGCTCCTCAGTTATGATCGGACAAAAAAACAAATAAACATACGAACAGAGATTGCAACTTTATATATGTAGATAATTCGGTCTTGCTTTCAAACAAATTTTTGATTGATGTAGTCAAATTTACAAAAAAAAAACTTATTTGAAAACCTTAAAAAATGTATTTTTATTACCTTTATTCTATACTAGATTTGGAACCCAGCGTTGCCCAAGTTACTCATAGCTATTCCCGCCGTTTACCCGCATATGGTCTTTAGTTACGATTTTAGCTATTTTTTCCTTAAAAAGTGGATCCACTAAACTTAGAATCTCAAAACTAAGAACATTCCCGTGGCTCTCTCAAGTTTCTCAATAAAAATTTGAGGCAAATAGGTTCAGGGATTCCTGAGTTATGATCGGACAAACAGAGATTACAACTTTATAATATTCTTTAAGATATATTATAATGCAGGAATGGATGCTTCGGTGACCCCTATCCCAGACCAGGCCGGACTGTCCTTGGTTCAAACCACAGACTTCTTCTATCCTCTAGTAGATGATCCTTATCTTCAGGGTAGAATTGCTTGTGCTAATGTACTCAGTGATCTCTACGCCATGGGTGTAGTCAGCTGCCACAACATGCTGATGCTCCTCGCCGTCAGCAAGGAGTTCACCGAGAAGGAGCGCGACGTTGTCATCCCTCTGATGATGCGCGGGTTCCAGGATACGGCGCTTGAGGCCGGCTGCCTGGTGACCGGCGGCCAGACTGTCGTCAACCCTTGGTGTACAGTAGGAGGGGTGGCGAGCACAGTCTGTACCAAGGATAGGATTATACTACCAGAGAACTCTAGTCCTGGAGAAGTTCTAGTTCTAACTAAACCTCTTGGAACTCAGATTGCAGTTAATGCTCATCAATGGATCGATGATCCCGAACGGTAAATTTTATTGTAAATATTAACTACCAATCTTTTACTGGATGTGATTTAGGGGAAAAATCGGTTTTAGATATTTTATTTTATTTGGTTCACTCAAGGTACAATTTAGGCCTTAAAAAGGGTTTACGTAGGTTAAGTTGAACACTTTGTAATGATCGTTTCTTATTTAAGTTGGAACAAGATATCTGGTGTTACCAGTGTTGCTGAGGTGAAGGCTGGATACAGAGCTGCAACCCTCTCCATGGCTCGGCTCAACAGGATCGGAGCCCAGCTCATGCATAAGTACGGAGCTACAGCTGCTACTGATGTCACAGGGTTCGGGATACTTGGCCACGCTACAAACCTTGCTCAAAACCAGGTATCATCTTCAGATATATTTTGCTTGTTTGTTCCCAAATTTTTGTCTATTGCAGTTCTGTTCAAAATGTCAATCTAAAAGCAACAATCAAAGGCAAAGATTTTATTAGAAATGGGACACGAAGCGCTCGATTAAGGCATAGTTAGATTAAATTGCGATGTATGTACGTCAAATTTTTTACGTTCTGAATGTTCGACCTACTCATTGCGTCCTTATTTTGCAACAGAAAATGTTTATATTTAATATGATGGACATTGGACACGTAGACTGGAGTCACTTATTTTTAAATTGTACATAATAATATCTTTGAGAGGTCTATCTTATTACAAAATCTTTCATAGGTACGTTGCTTTTGTAAACAAAGGGACGTAAAAAATAACTTTTTTATTCCTAAAAAAATTATTTAAAAAAAGGAACTTTCTTCTAGCATACGATACGTCTGATTTTTTTTGATTTTATAATGGTTAATGAATAGTTTCTTCTCAGTTCTGTATTATTTATTTTAGATAAAAAATGTTCATTACAAAATCCACACCCTGCCTATCCTGACAAACATGAGCAAGATTGCCAAGGCCTGTGGTAATATGTTCCAGCTGGTTCAAGGATACAGTGCTGAGACCAGTGGAGGCCTTCTACTCTCTATACCTAAGTAAACAAATGTCAAATGCGAATCACATCAATATTGAGAAATAAGGATTTGTAAAGATTTGGGTTCGGAGTATTTTACAAGTCATGTTTGTTCTTGGAACTCTTTGTAAATAGCAAGTTTTATTTTTCTATTTTGTTAAAGTTCAAGTAATCGTGCATTTTTACCTAATTTCAAATGAGAATTCGTAAGTTTTGTAATAAAAACTTTTTAGAACAGGATTTTATCCCTTTATTATCACAAGGAACAGTTACCGTGGTTCTTAAAGTAAATCCCGTGACGGTACTATCTGCCTAATTCATTATGAATTGTTGTATTTCGGAGCAAATGAAAATAATTATGTTCTTTAATTCTTTGATTTAAATAGTTGAGTGAAGAAGGTTGATTGATTGTAATTCTAATTTTGTTTCCAGGGATAAAGCGGCGGAGTTCTGCCGTGAAGTTGAGGAGCTTGAAGGATCTCCTGCTTGGATTATTGGAACCGTAGAGGAGGGGGTACACGGAGCTAGCATAGTTCAAGATCCAACTGTTCTGGATGTGTAGATGAGGAGGTACATGAAGCAAGCATAGTTCAAGATCCAACTATTCTAGATGTGTAGAGGAGGGGGTACACGCCACACGGAGCTAGCATAGTTCAAGATCCAACTATCATTGAGGTGTAAACATCTGGATCAGTTCCGTTGTACAGTTATGCATAGGACAGAGATTAACCTAGTGAGTACAGTACAGTACAGTACAGGACAGTACACTGTGCAGTAGTTTACACAGTGTTTTTTTGCACGCACATTTCACTAAACCTTTTCTAATTACAATACCTCGTTTGCGACCAAAAACAATCCAAAAACTGTGATTTTGTCCTGTAAGTACTGAGAGGACTCAGAGAAGAAGATTCGTCCTTCAATGACCTGAGAAACCTAATCCCAGTCCACGGTGGTTTCTTAGTGATGAATCTTGGATTCGAATCTTTTTCTTCCTTCAGACAAACCTAAATACAATAAACTGTTCATTTCTACAATTTTTTTAATTCAATGTATTTGATTTGTTGTTGCAGAGTTATTGTTTATTTTAAGAATATGTAAGTCTAGATGATTGCAGGATTTATTTTGTAGTGATATGCCGTGAACTTTTTGATACCTTCTGAACATGTTATACCGGGGTATTTAATTTTAAGAATTACACCCCCCTGGCACTGGAATGATTTTTGAAGACCTGAGGGAAATAATGAAAAATTTGACAAAATTTGTATTCTTTTTGACGCAAAAAATGGTTTTCCCACTAACATCATGATCATGTTCCCCCCAATTCTGCGAATAAACGCAGTAAATTTTCCAGCCGTTTACTAATGTGTCCAGAGCTGAAAACTTTAGAATGGTGGATATCAAGATTAATGCTTAAACTCCTGGTTTTACTAAACCCAAGATTATTTTAAAATGCATTCGATATCAAAGAAAGAAGTTAAAAAATTAACCAATCAGCGTGTCATGTTAAGATTTACTCTTTTAACTTAAAAAACCAGAGCTGAAAACTTTAGAATGGGATATCCTTAATCCCGATCGGTTAATTAATCTGAAGATTAATAACAAGCGGAGAACAAGCATTTTTTGATCTCGAGATTAAGAAAAAGAGTGGATCAAGCCTTAATCCCGATGTCCACCATTCAAAAATTCCCAGCTCAGTTTTGATTTCTGGTGTTGATGGTGTCATATCAACATCGATTGAACGAATGCAAGTTTTGGATTAATGTGTATTAAGACTAACGTTCAAAAGGACAATAGTCCAAAATATGTTTTTTAATAGTTTCATATTAAAATGATTAAGTTTATATTTGTTTAAATGCTCTAAAAGCCGGCTTGTGAACAGCTGACCTTAATTCAATCCAATCGATAAAGCATTGTATCTGTAATTGTATCAAACGTAACTTTTATACAGTAGAAATATCCAAAAAGAGGATTATAAGAAGAAAATCAAAAGTGTTTACATTAGATAATCAGATTAAGCGATCGTTATTAAGTATATCTCATTCTGAAGTTTTCAGCTCTGAGTTTATAGTCTTAAAACATAATTTAATAACTAGGCTTTACATCTTCCATTTTTAAAAAATAAACAAAGGAGGCATATTAAGTACTGCATTCCTTGATTTGGGCTGAGCCCCCCTGGAACAGTAAAATCTATGGTTTCTAGTGGATTTCAGGCCCTATACGGGTGCAGAGGCTACCCCTGGACTTCCTGTGCACGCCCCTGCTTATATCACACGCGGTCTGGAGATAACACAGGATCCCCTTGGAGATGACACAGCATCCCCCCTTGGAGATGACACAGCATCCCCTTGGAGATGACACAGGATACTCTTGGAGATGACACGGGATCCCCTTGGAGATGACACGGGATCCCCTTGGAGATGACACAGAATACCCTTGGAGATGACACAGGATCCTCTTGGAGATGACACAGGTTACCCTTGGAGATGACACGGGATCCTCTTGGAGATGACACAGGATCCCCTTGGAGATGACACAGGATTCCCTTGGAAATGACACAGGATCCCCTAGGAGATGACACAGGATACCCTTGGAGATGACACAGAATTCCCTTGGAAATGACACAGGATCCCCTTGGAAATGACACAGGATCCCCTAGGAGATGACACAGGATCCCCTTGGAGATGACACAGGATTCCTTTGGAGATGACACAGGATCCCCTTGGAGATGACACAGGATCCCTTTGGAGATGACACGGGATCCTCTTGGAGATGACACCAGGATCCCCTTGGAGATGACACAGGATCCCCTTGGAGATGACACAGGATACCCTTGGAGATGACACTGGATTCCCTTAGAGATGACACAGGATCCCCTTGGAGATGACACTGGATACCCTTGGAGATGACACAGGATCCCCTTGGAGATGACACAGGATCCCCTCGTAGATAACACAGGATCCCCTTGGAGATGACACAGGATCCTCTTGGAGATGACACAGGATCCTCTTGGAGATGACACAGGATCCTCTTGGAGATGACACAGGATCCTCTTGGAGATGACACCAGGATCCTCTTGGAGATGACACAGGATCCCCTTGGAGATGATACAGGATCCCCTTGGAGATGACACAGGATCCTCTTGGGGAGATGCAGGATATGTAAAGACACATGATCTAGGAATTTGGTTAATCATTATAGAGATGACACCGGATCGGTGCTATGGAAACGCCTCAACACGGAAACGTCTCAACACGGAAATGCCTCAAAAAAAAGCGGAAACCCCTCAAAAACCAGGTTTTTTGAGACGTTTCCGCAATTTCTGCAAGAAAAACGGAAATCCCTCAAAACCCAGTTTTTGAGGGGTTTCCTCTTTATTTTGAGGCGTTTCCTAAA